CCAACAGAATATGGTTCATTTCGGCTTGGAACATTGCGGGTGCGTTGGTAAGTCCGAACGGCATTACCAGATACTCGTTTGACCCGTATCGAGTGCGGCAAGCAGTTTTGTGGATGGAATTGTCTGCCATTCGTATATGCCAATATCTGGACAGCAGATCCAGTTTGCAGAATACCATGGCTCCCCGAAGCTGGTAAAGCAGGTCATCGATTCGTGGGATTGGGTATTTGTTCTTGATGGTCTACTTGTTGAGAGCTCGGTAATCGATGCACATGCGCAGGCTTCCGTCTTGTTTCGGTGTGAAGAGTACTTGGGCACCATATGGTGAAGTAGATGGTCAGATGAGTCCTTTTGCGAGGAGATACTCGATCTGTTTCTTCATGTCGGCTAGCTCCGTGGGGTTGAGCCGATGTTGTGCTCGAAAGGTCGGCTTCGAACCTGGTTCTTCCACGATCTCGTATTGGTGCGTTCTGCTTGGCGGCAGCTCGTTCGGAAGAATGTCTTGGAACTCCTTCCGTAATTCCTTTATTTTTTGTGGAGGTTCCGAGGTATTCTCTCCATCGGTTTCCACATCCGTCGCTATCGCCAGGAACCCGATGTCGTTTTTTTTTACGTCCTTCTCGAATCTTGCGAGTGTCTCCACTAGGATATCTCTTGTATCGTCCCAGTTGGGTAGCTGGACTCTCCTTCCATTGTTGTAGATGCTTGCAGTACAATTTACCCAGTTGGTCTTCCCTGGAGAACGGGTAGTCGTTGTGGGCTGGTGTCGGGAGAGGACGTTGACTCCGTGGAAAGGTCAGCCTCTTTCCACACTCCTTAATTTTGTCCCCAAAATTTTCGGTACCGGTATGATCTTCACAAGTTTCTGCTTCTTCTGGAGTGCCTCCCGAAATTTCTCAAAGGCTCTAGCCCCTCGAGAATCATAAGTTTTCATTAAATCATCTTTATAAGATAACTTTAAGGAATCCTTATAATTTCTTGGGTCTTCTCGGAGTTTCCCTGTCTCGGCAGAGTCCTTTTTTGCAGAGTCTGATTTTTTCTTGGCGTTTTTTCTCTGGTGAAGACTGGTCGTGGGGTGGAGATTTTTCCCCATCATTTCCTCCTGTTCGTATCGAATCAGCTTTGTTGAAGTCGATTTTCTCGGAATCCCGCGGCCGCTTTCGGATCTTTTCTTTTTCGCTAGCTAGATCCGCAATCATTGGCGAATTCCGTTTTTTGTCTTCTGATTGGCCGAAGAATTTCCGCCACTGTTGCGTGCCCGATATTCTGTGCGTGCGGCTTTCATTTTGTTGCAGTCGAAGATTCGATGGCTCGTCACCCCGCAAAAATCACACGTGTAGTTGGTGTTTTTCGGACGTGACCACCCGTCGAACCAGTCGATTTCCATCGGGTCGGCGAACGTGGTGTGAGCCGAGCGGTCGCCTTGTCGCGTAGTGCCGATGTGCGCCCGTCGTGTTCTAGCATTGACCATGTTGAACCGTTCTACTGCCGAAACGACGTCACTGTAGCTCGCCTAGTTTGTCGCTGCTACCTGTCGTTTGACTACGGTCTTCAGCCCGACGAGATACGACTGTACTTTTTCCCCTTCGGTCATGTGAGGAATGCGGTTATAAAATTCCTCCATCTGTTGCGTGTACTGCGCTACACTCCCGAACTGTCGATGGCGATGAATGTTTTCCCGGGCAAGGAAACCCGAATTTATCGGCTCAAAGCGTTTCAGTAGGTCGGTGCAGAACTGCTGCCACGTGGCTTCGCTATGGATGAAGGTACTGTTACAGCCGATCCACTTGAGTGCCGGTCCTCGCATCAGTGTTGCCGCGAAGCTATTGGCTTTAAGGGATTATGGGAGGATTACGCTAGATATAGCGTGCTTGTACATCCCGAGCCTGGTCGGTGATATAATTATAATAACAGGATAAACTAAAGGATAATGGAATTGGAGAAATAGGAAACCAAATTGAGATGAGAGAAAAGGAGGAATGAAATAGAAAGGAGATATGGAAAGGGAAATTGGTGTAACGGGATCGTACTTTAACAGTCGTAACCACGCCAATGGACCAAGAAATCGATGAAGGAAACACCCCCTTGTAGACGGAAAAGGAGACAGAGAATGCGCTGGATCGGGTAGTTGGGCTTATCGGTATCAGTGCGATCGCAACCCGAGAAGGCGGTCTTGGGATCGGTGTAAGGATAAAGGAGGGACACATGAAATATAGGATGCATGCATGCGAAATATGGGAAGGCGAAGGCGGTATGCAACTGGACCTATGACACGCGCGATAACAAATGGACCCATGAAAGGAGGACGGTGCAGTTACCCCCCACCATATTCAAGATAAATCTCGAAAGTAATTTACGAACCCTAAAAAACTTTCCAACTCTTGTAGGTTCGATGGCGGTAGACAGGCTTGCACTATCTCAATCTTACGTGGGTCCACTTCTACGCACTTAGCGGAAATGATGTGACCTAAAAACTCCAACCTATCTTTTGAAAACTCGCACTTTGACCCTTTCGTTTGGAGGAGTTGTTCCTGTAGTAGCGTGAAAACTGCTTCAAGGTCCTTTAAGTCCTACTCCTGAGTCTGAATGTAAATCAGAATGTCATCTATATAGACTATAATACACATATCTACGAGCACATTGAACATCTGGTTCATGGTTATTTCAAAAGTCACGGGGGCATTTGTGAGTTTGAAAGCATAACTACATACTCGTAACTCTCGAACCTAGTACGAAACACGGTCTTGTGAGAGTCGGCGGCGGCTACGCAAATTTGCTGGTAACCCCCTCATAAATCCTTTTCCGAGAAGAATCGAGTTGTGCGAAGTTGATTGATCAGTTCATCTGTGCGAGGGAAGGGGTAGCGTAACTTGATAGTCACTCGGTTTAGTGCTCATTAATTTGTACACATTCGGTAACCTCTGTCCTTCTTTGGGGTGAACAGTATGGGGGCTGCAAATGGAGATGAGCTCGGGCGAGTGAATTGTTTCTTGAGTAAATAATCTAGTTGCTTCAGTATTTCTTCTGACTCCGGCTGTGTCAGTCAAAATTGCCGCTGGACTGTGGGATGGATCCTCGGATCTAATTCTATTCGATGGTCAAAGGGTCGTTCCGGTGGTGATCCTTCGGGTAGGTCGCATGGAAATATTTCTGGAAATCTGGGAATCTGTAGGTCAGCTGGCACTGCTGCTGTCAGCTACTCAAGATCAGACGGTTGCGATGCCACATGGAGGGCACGAACGACTGCATCGAAGACTTCCTACTCGCTTTATCGCCGCGGAGTTCACCTGCATCACTCCCCCTGTAATCCTCATCGTCCATTCTGGTAAGGCTACACTGCGGCCGTTTATTTTGACAGAGCAGCTACCGGCTGTCCAATCTATCCTAGGGTTGAATCGTCGCACCCAATCCTGACCCAGCAACATATCGAAGCTGTCAAGCATAGAAGCCAGCATCCCCATTGAGAAATTGAATTCATCTCCACACTTTACCCTTATTTTTATGCCCGGTCCTTAATTGCTAATGGGGTCCCGTCGGCTAGTCGGGCGTCGATCTCTAGTAGACACCAATCTTGGGGTAACTTCAATTTTTGGCTGTGGAGAGGTTGATGATGTGAATGTCGACGAAGGTTGTTGTTTTTGTTTTGTTCTTTTTGTTTTGTTTTTTTTCCTTGAACCCTTCCCTCTAAATGATTGGGGTAATCCGCTGCTGCACCCTCCTTATACAGCTGGATTTGGTCCATTGCATGAATCGGTACCAGATCTTGACGAGGGTCATCAGTTACGGACAAGCAGGTTCCATCAATGGTGAATTGTTAACTATTGACCTTAAGCGTTTCTCTGGTCGCTGAAACTACCCTTCCCCTGATTCCGCTTCTTCCGCTCCTCTAGGCATTCCGACTTATGGTGTCCTAGCCTGTTACACCCAAAACAGCGATCCTTGAAAGTTGTAAGTGTTGTGTTCGAGGTTGTAACAACGTGTACAGTGGCATGCTCGATTGGTCCCTAAGTGTGATTTTTGTCGTAGGAACCCGCCCTTGGCTTGAAGAATGAATCAAGACTCTGCAACCCTCCATGCCTCAATTAAATCCATAATTTCCTACACTTGTAATTCTCGAGGCAGATCCGGTCAAAGGCCCCTGATGTATGAGTCGAACTTCTCGTCAGGGTTCATGTAGTCGTCCTGGTTTTGCATATATTTTTTAAGCTACTGATATAGTCCTAGACCGATCCAAGTTCGCACCACGAGCGAAGGTGGTTGCGTGCCTAATTGCTTGTATTGACGTGTTCAAAGCGGCAAAAAATTCCGTCGCACCATGAATGTCACATGCTGTATTCGTCCACGTTACAAAAATATCCTGCCCAATCATTGGTCGTGCAAAAACGCCCGATCACGCGCGTTTTCGTATCCGACTCCTGCAACTGTAGAATCTACTGCCACCAATCCACCGCCAGTCCACGTAGGAGGGAAACGGTGAATCGGATCTTATGCAAATCTTGGACGACAAGGTTGCATTCATAAAAAACATTCAGGTGGAAAATACATCCAGTAACGGACAGCCTACCATGCTAGCTTGGGTCGAACATGGGTGGCCTCAGCGCCATCATGATGTTGGCAGTTTGCAGGCTAGTTGGAGAGGTAATTTGGGCCGGCAGGTTGACATTCGCCCCTTCGCCAACTTCCGTTCGTCCAATGATCAGCGTCGGATTTTTTCGTCGAGCCCTGAAGCGAAGTTGCATGTGGTTGTTGTTAGGATTAAGGACGGAGTCTAGGTGCACTTAGGAGCTAGAATTACTCAAAATATAAATCCGAAATTCTGGACAGAAAAGTCGTCTTCACAAGAAACGACGTCGACAAACAACTAGCCGTTGGAATGTCGCGAAACTTGGATATGTTGTAGCTCTTAATCTCAGCTACCGTTCCCAATTTGAATCATGTTGATTGATAAAGTATTCGCGACGCTATGGCTTTCGACGCACTAGGGGGTAAGCTGTAGGAGGAGAACTTAACTCAATCTCAAAGGTTCAATCAAAGTTCAAGAATCTCACAAGGAATTAGAAGGAGCAAGAGAAAGGTTGGGATAGAAAGAGAGGGACGAGAGGGAAGGTCCCAAGAGAGTCCCCAACCAAGGAAACCCCATAAGCACAAAGATTCCCTCCCTATAGGAACCCCAACTTTGACATTTGTCCCTTCCCAACCAATCCATCCAAGTTGGCCACCCTTGCCAACCTAGCTTGGTTGTTCCCAACCAATTTGCAGCTGTTACAGTGAGTGACAAATTTCCCAAACCCCCAAAGGTCCCAACTCCATATAGAGTCACCCCACAACTTCACTTTGTAACCGCCGCAATTGTAACGCAAGCTCATGAACTTTGAATCTTCATAGCTTTCGCGTTCTTGCTCCGATTGAAGGGATTCTCGTTGCGTCGGAAAGATCTTCTCAAGATCTATCATCACAAAAAACCTGCTCAAACAAAATAACACAAAACACATTCCCAAACTCCAGAACACACCACACACAAATTCTTTCACATTCAAACCACACATGCAAGTTGAAAACATGGGATGGGAGGCAGACAGAATGTGATAGCATATGATGACATCACACAACAATCTCCCCCTCTGGCTGCCAACCATCATCGACCATACCACATCTCAAGCATGCATACTCAATGCACACTCATCCCAGCAAGCTTCATGCCCTTCCAATGATCCGCCTCCGCCAGACGCTTAGTGAAAATATCTGCTGCCTGCTGATGGGTCTTCACTATCTCCAGCCGCACCTCCTTATCAAGGAGTCTCCTCACCCAATGCCACTTAGGCCTTATGTGTTTTGTCAGCCCATGCAGACAAGCATTCTTGGCGAGCTTCACAGCGGACTCATTGTCACAAAACACAACTGTCGGCTTCTCCTGACCAACTCCCAACTCCTCCAACAAACGCCTTAGCCACACTACTTCCTTGGCCCCATGGTGTAAGGCCATGTACTCAGTCTCACATGAGGACAATCCCACCTCATTCTGCTTCTTGCTGCGCCAGCTCACAGCACCACCTCCTAGCAAGCACACATAACCCCCAATGCTGGTGCCATCCGCTTTCACTGAGTTGAAGCTAGCGTCAGTATAGCAACTCAAGAGCATCTCTCCACTCTTCCCATCTGCAGCACCTCTCTGCAACCGCTGCCTCACTCCACTGTACTCCAATCCCACTGATGCCGTAGCGCTCACATAGCGGACCAACCTCTTGGCCGCTTCCAGCTGCTCATGACTAGGGCGTGAGACCACACTAGCCAACCGTGATGTAGAAAATGCAATGTCAGGCCGTGTATGATTTGCAGCATAATTCAGCGACCCAACCATCGAATGAAACAGCTTCCTGTCACTCTCACCCACTACCTCCTCATCAGCACATGGCTCCACAGTAAACCCTGAAGGTAGTGGTGTTGCTGGCTTTCCCCCATCTTGCAGCCCATACTTCTCAGCCAGCCCCTCACAGTACTTCCTCTGGTGCAACCTCAGCACACCCTTTTCCACATCTCTCTCCACGTGCATCCCCAAGTAGTACTTCACCTCACCCATCTTGGAGCACTTGAACTGCATCTCCAGCATCTGCTCTGCGCTGTCCAGCAAAGCAGTGGATGCAGAAAAGAGAAGGATATCATCCACATACACCAAGAGCATGAGGATTTCATCCTTCTCCTGCAGCAGGAACAGGCTGGGGTCACACTCACTCTTCTTGAAACCCCCAGCCACCAGCGCCTCCTCCAACTTGTGATACCATGCACGAGGCGCCTGCTTAAGGCCATAGATTGCCTTCTTCAGCCTGCAGACCCTGCCGCTCCCATCATCCAGCCCCTCTGGCTGCTTCATGTACACCTCCTCCATAATGATCCCATTCAGAAAGGCAGTCACAATATCCATCTGCCGAATCTTCCATCCCAGGAGTGCAGCTATCGCCAACAGCACCCTCAGTGTTGTTCCTTTCCCCACAGGAGCAAACACCTCATCATAGTCCTTCCCCTTTGTCTGCTGAAACCCCCGTGCCACAAGCCTAGACTTGTAGCGGGTCAGCTCCCCTTCAGGTCCATACTTGTGCCTGTAGATCATCTTGGAAGTGATTGCCTTCTTTCCAGGAGGCAAGTCACACAGGTCCCATGTCTCGTTCTCAATTAGGGACCCGAACTCCTCATCCTCACTCGCCTTCCACTTCTCCCCATTTGGTCCATTCAAGGCCTCTTCTCGAGTCTTGGGCTCAGGGATTGGTGCCCAGTAGCAGTGAGCGATCTCATCTTCCTCAATCTGCTCAACCACACTCCCAGCCTGCACCACATTCGGCTTGCCTCTTCCCCCATAGGTCAGCCTCACTGGAGGGCGCACATCCCTCCTAGGACGCTCAGGCGGGTGTGGAACTCGAGGTGGAGACTCATGCTGCTGCTGCTGCTGCTGCTCTACTTCAGCTGCTCCCCCTTCCTCAGTCACCCCAGACATCTCCTCCTCTGACACTGCAACCTCCACCTGTCTTGAAGGCTGCTGCACCTCATCTGCCTCCACAATGAGCGGTGTAGATGGAAGCTTCTGTTGCTGCTGCTTCCATTCCTTGTAGTACAGGGACTCAAGAAACTTCACATCCCTTGACACTGTCAGCTTCTGGGTGGTCAAGTCCCATAGCAGCCATCCCTTGTGATCCTTTGCAATCCCCAAGTGCACACCCCATCTTCCAGAAGCCTCCAACTTCCCTCTTTTCTCCTTAGGCACATGAAACACTACCATGCACCCAAATGCCCTCAGCATGTTCACAGCTGGAGCACTCCCATACCACTTGATATATGGGATCCACTCCTTATCTCCAACTGTAGCCAGCACCCTGTTCTTCACAAGGGCGACCTGCCTCAGTGCAGACACCCAAAACGGATCAGGTAGCCCTGCACGCCCAAGGAGAGTGCGTGCCCCCTCCTGCAGGGTCCTGTTGAACCTCTCAGCCACGCCATTCTGCTGCGGATTGTAGGGCACTGTCAGTTGATGCTGGATCCCCTTCCTCTTCAACTCCCCCTCAAAATCAGCTCCAATGAACTCCCCACCATTGTCACTGCGGATCACCTTCACCTTGTGTCCGCATTCCCTCTGAGCTCTAGGCATCCACTCCTTAAGGACAGCCGCTGCCACCTCCCCCTTGCTGTTCAAAGGGTAAACCCACACTGCCCGAGTGTGGTCATCCACAATTGTCAAGAAATAGCGGCTGCCTGAGAGGGAAGGGGCTCTTGTGGGCCCCACCACATCCATGTGCACAAGTGCAAGTGGGGTCTTGGCTGGTCCTGTTGCACTGTTGAAGGGGAACTTGGAGAACTTGGTCTCCAAGCATGTAGGGCAGCTCCCAATCTCCTTCACTTCCCCTTTCACCTCCAAGCCCTTCAGGCTCCCATTCTTCACCAACTTCTGCAGCATAGGGAAGTTCACATGACACAACCTCTCATGCCATGTCTCCCAATCGGCCTCTCCACTCCTTGATGAAGCCTTAGCCCATGCCGCACTCGCATCCACACCAGCAAGCACCTCACCATGTGTCTGCTGCTGCTGCACTTTCTTGACTGCTTCCAGGACCCCATCAGTTGGTGCAGTTGCATCTCCTCCTGCTGTTGCCTTTGCCGCTGCTGCCGTTGCTGCTGTTGGAGTCTTCCCATTCCATGGGATGATGGGCAGCTGCCACAGGTCCTTGATGCAGCTGGTCTCCTCTTCCAGACTCCACAGCACCTTCTTCCCAAGCTTAGCACGGCAGCTGGTTGGTCCAAAGGTCACTTCGGCCTTGCTCTTCTGCAGTCGTCGCACAGAGAGAAGGTTAGCAGACAAGCCTTCAACCAGCAGAACATTCCCAAGCCCCACAAGCTCCCCATTAGCTCCCTTAACCTTGGCATTTCCAACACCAATGACAGGGAGCAAAGCACCTGACGCTGCTGCCACATACTTGATCTTCCCAGGGGGTTTTACCTCATCAAGCAAATCTGCCCGTGGGGTCATGTGACTGGTGCAACCTGAATCAATCACCCAGTGCGTGAGAGGGTGCATCACAACCTTTCCCACAGATCCCACATCACCCTCATGCCCATGCACATCCTCAACCATGAGATACATCCCAGGATAGGCGTTACCTTGTGCACCTTCACCTTGTGCACCTGAGCCTTGCACAGCGCCACCTTGTGCGCGTTCACCACTTGGCGGCTTCATGCCTGGAGGTGACCATCCCTCCAGCCTGCTGAAGCACTTGAACCAAGGATGCCCGACCTTCTTGCAGTACCAGCAGGTGCCCTCCATTCTGGTACTCCCCCTGCCACTGGAGCTCCCATGCCCCTCATTATAGTCACCTCGGCCTCTACCTCTGCCAAAGCTCTCCCACGGCCTCGGCCTTTCCAACCCCCTCTTCCTCTGCCGCGCCCTGCAGCTCCATACCCCTCAGCAGTCTTAGTGGCAGCACCGCCTCCCACATGGCGTCTGCGGAAGTCCTCCTGCAGAATCTGCTGCCTTAGCCACTCAGGTGTCCATTGATCTTGCTGAGAGTTGAGGGTGGGGATGAGGTTATCCCACGAGTTGTCCAACACCGAGATGATCTTGGTGCACTGCTGCAGCTGAGATACACTGCTGCCCGCTGCTGCCATCCTTGCATAGGTGTCCTTGATCTTGTCAAGGACCGGCTTCACATCGTCCCCTGGTCGCATGGAGATGGCAGCAAGTTCCTTCTCGAGCACGATCACCATCAGGAGAGTGTTGGGCTGAATCACATCGCGTAGTAGTTTCCACGCCCTTGGACCCGAATCATCCGCTTCCACAAGATCCTTGATGTGCTCGAACATCTCCTTGTTGACCGATTGAAGGATGAGGTCGAAAAGCACCGCGCTTTTCTCAATCCACCGTTCGCGTGCTTCGCCTTCTTCCGGCATCTTCTCTTCCCCAACAGCAATCTTCAGTAGCTTGTAGCGTTTGAAGGCACTCCTCATCCGTCCGCTCCATTCCTCATAGTTGGAGCCATCCAAAGCTTCAACTTTTGATGGCGGCGGCTCACTTGTCTTCTCAGCTACAGCTCCTCTTCCATTAGCATCTCCTCCTCTCTCATTCATCTTCTCCTTGAGAAATGACGAATTTCAGCCCCCCTTTGCTGTCCACACTCAGCTCCCTCGATATTTTCACAAGTGTCGGCGTCCACGAAATTTCGGCAGAGTTTCCCTTAGCGGAAGACACATCCAACCTTTAGAACACCACTTAGGCACACCCACAGGCCATGGTGGGTCTAGAAGGGTCTTCACACTTCTGTAGACTCCTCTCAACGTCCTTAATACGCTCTGATACCACTTGTTAGGATTAAGGACGGAGTCTAGGTGACTTAGGAGCTAGAATTACTCAAAATATAAATCCGAAATTCTGGACAGAAAAGTCGTCTTCACAAGAAACGACGTCGACAAAAACTAGCCGTTGGAATGTCGCGAAACTTGGATATGTTGTAGCTCTTAATCTCAGCTACCGTTCCCAATTTGAATCATGTTGATTGATAAGTATTCGCGACGCTATGGCTTTCGACGCACTAGGGGTAAGCTGTAGGAGGAGAACTTAACTCAATCTCAAAGGTTCAATCAAAGTTCAAGAATCTCACAAGGAATTAGAAGGAGCAAGAGAAAGGTTGGGATAGAAAGAGAGGGACGAGAGGGAAGGTCCCAAGAGAGTCCCCAACCAAGGAAACCCCATAAGCACAAAGATTCCCTCCCTATAGGAACCCCAACTTTGACATTTGTCCCTTCCCAACCAATCCATCCAAGTTGGCCACCCTTGCCAACCTAGCTTGGTTGTTCCCAACCAATTTGCAGCTGTTACAGTGAGTGACAAATTTCCCAAACCCCCAAAGGTCCCAACTCCATATAGAGTCACCCCACAACTTCACTTTGTAACCGCCGCAATTGTAACGCAAGCTCATGAACTTTGAATCTTCATAGCTTTCGCGTTCTTGCTCCGATTGAAGGGATTCTCGTTGCGTCGGAAAGATCTTCTCAAGATCTATCATCACAAATAACCTGCTCAAACAAAATAACACAAAACACATTCCCAAACTCCAGAACACACCACACACAAATTCTTTCACATTCAAACCACACATGCAAGTTGAAAACATGGGATGGGAGGCAGACAGAATGTGATAGCATATGATGACATCACACAACACGACGGGCGGCCACGTGCGAAAAACGCCAACTTTACGTGCGATTTTCGGGGACTGCCGGGCCATCAAATCTTCGACTATAATGAAATAAAAGTCGTGCGTGCAAAGCTTCGGGCATGCAATAGTGGCGGAAATTCTTCGGCTAATCAGAAAAAAGAAGAAGAGGGAATCGTCAGTGATTGTGGATGTAGCTGGTGAAAAAGAAAAGATCCGAAAGCGATCGCAGGATTCCATAAAAATCAACTTCGACAAAGCTAATTCGATGTGAGCAGAAGGAAATGATGGGGGAAAATCTCCACCCCACGACCAATCTTTGCTAGGGAAAATTGCCGAGAAAAAAATTGACTCCGCGAAAAAAAGCCTCTGCCAAGACAGAGAATTTCCTTGAAGACCCAATAAATTATATGGTTCGTTAAAGTTATCTTATAAAGATGTTTCTATAAATTGTATGATTCTTGAGGGGCTAGAGCCTTGGAGAAATTATGGGGGGGCCTCAAAAAGAAGCAGAAAATTGTGGAGATCGTACCGATACCATAAATCTTGGGGAAAAAATTAAGGAGTGTGGAAAGAAGTTGACCTTTCCAAGTAGTCCATGTCCTCTCCCGACACCAGCCCACAACGACTACCCGTTCCCCAAGGAAGACATCAATGGAGCTGAAGTAGCTGAAGAGGAAGCTAGGGGTCTACAAGAAGCTGCAAAGGCCCCGAAATCCTCCTTCGGATGCATCCAACTCAACAACTTCGGCATCAACGAAACACACTGTCGTCAAGGAAACTACGAGCTCTGGAGAAGAGCCTTTCTCCAAGCAGCCTCGGTCAGCTGGCAGCTCAAGAGTAGATAGCAATTAAAGGTGTGTACGGAATATTGAGATGTACCCTGTGATCCTATTGATGAAACTATCTTTTGGTACTCCGAGCAACGCCTTCCCCTTGTGCTCGAGGTCGTCTGAAAAGGACAACGCCTCCATGCACCCGTGGACTGTGGAGCGTCACACACCGTATATGACAAGGTAGCAATCAACCAACTTCGGGAAGAGTACAAGCCTTCAACATTCTCTGCAACGATGGTGGACGGCAGCAAGTTACTAGTCTACGACGAACCAGTATTACACCTACAAATCGGTCCATTGCGCTGGAAACACGCACTCCCCATCACCAATATAAAAGGGCTTGACTTGATCTTCGGGCGAGACTTCCTTAAAAAGTCAACCCTTATGTCACCTGGGTAAACCGTACTGCAAGCATCTACAGTACAACAACGGAAGGAGAGTCCAGCTACCCAACTGGGACGACAAAGGAAGTATCCTAGTGGAGACAATCGCCAGGTTCAAGAAGTTTGTGGAACGAACTGACACCGGATTTTTGGCGATAGCAACAGATGCAGAAGAGGACGAAGAGAAAGCATCGTAACGTCCAGAAAAAAACCGTGAATTACTGAAGGAGTTCCAATACATTCTTCCCGACGACCTTCTGAACGAGCTACCGCCATACCGAGCGCACCAACACGGGATCGTGAAAGAACTAGGTTTGAAGCCGACCTACCGAGCATTATATTGGCTCAGCCCCACAGAGCTAGCCGACATGAAGAAATGAATCGAGTATCTCCTCGAAAAAGGACTCATCCGACCATCCACTTCACCTTACGGTGCCCCAGTACTTTTCACACTGAAATCGGACGAAAGCATGCGCATGTGCATCGATTACCGAGCTCTCAACAAGAAGACAATCAAGAATAAATACCCGTTTCATGAGTCGGTGACCTGCTTGACCAGCTTCGGAGAGCCACGGTATTTTCCAAACAGGATCTGCGGTCCGGATACAGGCGGATAAGAATGGCGAGCAATTCCATCCATAAAACTACCTCGGTGTGGGTTGTACAAGTATCTGCTCATGCCGTCCGAGCTCACGAACGCACCGGCAACCTAATAAGCCGAAATGAACCACATCATTTGCCCACTCTTGGACGAATGCGTGGTGGTATACCTAGATGACATCCTCATATACAGTGGCAGAAACAATTGTCCGTAAGTTTTGCATCAATTTGGGTTTTTAGGCTTTAAGACCACTATACATTAAGCCTTAATGTTTAATGGTGGTACGATTTGGGAGGGGCACATAGTGGATGTGTTCATAGCACAAACATCCAGAATAGTACGTTGAATCTAACTCATATCCCAAAAGATGTACAAAGGGTACATCCAGACAAATAGTTCAAAGCAGAGAGAGCAAACTCCGAAGGAGTGTTTTTAGTTCCTAGCCCACTGGCCTTTGGCCTTGATCACCGCCCGCACCCTCCTAGGCGTGCTGTCGATGAGGCTAGAGCAAACCTCGGCATGGATCTTCTCCTATTCTTCCTGGACCAGGTCTTAAAGCTCCAGCATTCCAGAGGAAGGCCTTTTATGCTTGGCTGGCTCCCTTTTCGGGTAAGCCCAGAGGTTGAGGTTTGATGAGAAACAAGGCCACTCCAGGGCTACATACTCATGTTCTCCAATTCATTCCTGCACTAGGCATAACAAATTCTTGAGATCATTGTCTGCACCGAGATAACCCCAGAGGGGAAATGCCTACAGAAATGGAGGGTCAATTCTAGTTCATTAAGCAAAATGCTCTCATACAGGGGCCTCTCCATGCGTCCGTCAATCTTGCATATGAACCCCACCCTTGCACATGTCACACATCCCCACACCATCACCGATCCTTGTCCCCATGGTTTACCGTCTATTTGATTTGGTGGTGCTGCAGGGTTGTGCCTTTACGAATCCAGGCAAACGTGCGGCCATTATAGCTGTACTCGTGCGATATGAAGCAGCACGTTGAACACCTACAATGCGTCTTCGACATTCTTGGACGAGAATGATTCTACGTCAAATTATCCAAGAGCGGGTTCGCCCTCAAGAAGGTCCAATTCCTAGGACCCATGTTGAGTGCTCAGAGATTTCACATTGACCCAAGAAGATCGAAGCCGTACGCACATGGAAGTCACCCGAGAACGTAAAGGAGTTGCAGCAGTTCCTAGGCTTCGCCAACTATTACATCAGGTTCGTGCCACAGTACGCAAAAATCGCTGCACCACTCACGAATCTGCTGAAGAAGAACACGCCCTATCAATAGGAATCAAAACATCAAGATGTCGTGGACCAGCTGAAACAAGCACTCACGTCCGCTCTCATCTTGCCGGATCCCGAACGCGACTACGTCATCGAAGCTGACGCGAGTGACCGGGCAGTGGGAGCAATCTTGATCTAAGACTACGGGAATGGACTGCAACCCATCGCCTACCTCAGCCAGAAACTGCACGGGGCAGAACTAAATTACCCGATACATGACAAAGAGGCTTTTGCTATTATCATCGCATTCAAAACGTGGAGATTTTATCTCGAAGGACGAAAAAACAACCGTCTACATTGATCACTGCATCCTAAAATATTTGAAGACACAACCAAACCTCTCCAGGCGGCAGGTCCGGTGGATTGACTTCCTCGAGATGCACTTCCACTACGACAACGTGTACAAGCCTGACCACAAAAACAAAGCAGATGCTCTCAGCCGGCCTGGACATGTTGCCACTATCCAGGTCGAACGGATGAACCCGCTACTCAAGGAAATCTTCACACACGGGTACACCATTGACCCCGAAATTCCCTTAGCAGAGAAGTGACATTTGCTACAGTGGGACAGTGACATAACGTACTGGGCACCCAACTACCCACCTTTGTGCCAGTTACTATTCGAAGAATACCACGATCTCCTATACGCGGGACAATTCGGTAGCAACAAGACGCTCACCAATATTGCAAAGCACTAAATGGCAAACAACGTACAGAAATTTGTCACCTCGTGCGACACATGGCAGTTGATGAAGAGCAGCAAGCAGTAAAAAGCATGACTGCTACAGCCTCTTCCTGTCCCAGAACTGCCATGGCAAGTGGTTAGCCTGGAATTCATAACCGGGTTACCAACTTCCAAAAGCGGTCATGACGCAATCCTTGTAGTCATCGATAAGTTTTCCAAAATGGGGCACTTCATTCCGACATACATGACATCACGCACCGAGTAGACAGCACAACTATTCGTTGGCTACATCATCTCACAGCATGGCATTCTAACCACACTGATCTCTGACCGAGACCTAAGTTCACCAGTAAGTTCTGGAAGGAACTTATGTCTATGCTTGAGACCAAACTCGCCATGTCATCCGCATACCATCCCCAGACAGATGGACAGACTGAGCGTCTCAACCGAATTGTAGAGCAGCTTCTTCAAGCAGCATGCAAGGACGAAATCTCTAAATGGAACTTGCATCTGCCCGTCATGGAGTTTGCCTACAACAACGCCACTCACGTCACTACTGGACAGACGCCGTTTTTCCTCTATTACGGACACAACCCACTCACCCCACAAAAATTGACAGCACCAGCCACAGTCCAACATGCACACGACTTCATCACCACCATGCATCAGCTTGGGATCGGACCCACAAACGCCTCCTCAACATTCAGTGGCACCAGAAGTGCCACACCGATCGCCACCTCAATGACCACACCATGACTGTGGGAGAACGGTTCTACTCGATACCCGCAATCTTGACATCAACCATATCTCATCCAAACTATGACCTCGCTTTTGCAGGCCCTTCCTTGTTGAAGCATAGGTCTCCCCTGTTAAATTCGGCTTACGCCTGCCAGCTACCTAGAAGATTCACAATGTCTTGGATGTCCAGTTTCTGAAGCCCTACAGAGATCCC